TTTAAACATTTTTATTTTGGTAGCAAGTTTTTGGTTTTGGATATCCACTGTTTTATATTGTAAGCCTCCATCTTCTGTCCTCTGCGTGGGCATCCCATGTTGCAACACTATGATTCATTGTACCCCTCCCATGTAAATTGGTTTCCCGATGAATGAGAATGATTGGAAATGACTGAAATACAATGGTAGCAGGCCTCTACTAAATGGCCTGTAATGACTGGGCCATCACCTCGCATTGATTCATCCAGGAACCACGGACCTCACCCAGGAACAGAGACAAGACCACCATTCGAAAGACAAAAGACCCTGCAGAGCCAGCAACTCTACCATTGTACCCCACCATTACAGACACCCAAAACTGCACATCCCTACATGCAGCAATCACGCTCAGTATGCCAGGGGCTGACCCTTGCCTGGGCATGCCTCCTGTCACTAGGGTCACAAGGTCTGCCCCTATAAAAAGGGGCAGTGAAGTCAGATCCAGTGGGACGCCCTTTCCATCTGGACCAGCACCATGCCACACCACCTATCCACCCAGAGGCCCTGCCGGCGACCCCACTCTGGACAACACCTATTGGACAAGGACCCCTTTCCAGCCTGGATAGGTAGATATTAGCTGCAAACCTCCTCCTACAATTTGGACTCTCTCCCCGTCTCTCTCTCTCCTCCTGGACTTCAGTGGACTTCAGCCCCTGCACCAAGCCTCTCTAACCCCTGCTGCCATTGTGTGTGTGTGGGGAGGGGGGTGCAAGGGAAACAATAAGACGTTGTGTCACCATCTCCCCTGTTCAATAAAACTACTGACATTTGCAACCCCAAGTTGGGTCATGTTTTGCCTTTCAGTCTCTCCTGCCACTTTTTCTGTGATTTTCTGCTGTCCCCTTGCTTTCCACGCTCCTACTGCCTTTTCCCTGTGACTTTCTGCTGCCTTTCTCTGCTTTCCCGCTGCCCCTGCCACCTTTCAGTCTCTCCTGCTGCTTTTCCTGTGATTTTCTGCTGTCCATCTCTGTTTTCAGGCTTCCCCCACACCTTCTGTAGTCCTCCCCCACCCCACTCCTTTGCAGCTTCCTAGTTCCTCTTGGCTGTCCTGCAGTTTTCTCTAACAGTTGAAGCCTTTCTCCAGCTCCCAGCACCTACTGCCGCTCCCTGCAACTTCTCTAGCTGCCCTGGAGCCATCCTCTGGCTCCCCACATCCAGAACACCCACACTTTAATACCCACACTTTCCCTTAGTCCCATTTTCCCTCTCCCCACCTACCTTTTCAGCTCCCCCGTAGCTCTGGCTCCAGTCCCAACCTCAGCTTCTGTGCCAGCATCACTTCCCTGTTCTGCAGGCTTTGGGCGTTGTCTTTTAATCAATTAACCTAAAGTTACCCCTGAGCCTCAGTTCTTCAGCCCAGGCCCCTGTAGTCTACCAGTTCTAATCCCAGTCCTGCTAACTTTAACTCCCTACACTTCTACTTTCTTACCTTAACCTTTCTCCAGGTATCCCAAGTACACCACACACACACACGTACATACACATCACAACACCCAACTTAGGAACTCACCTGTGTGTATGTGTAGGTGGGTGGTATGTGTGTGAATTAGTGAATACACATATATATACATATATAGATATCATTGTGTGTGTGTGGTATATGAATTAGTAATCCACGTATGTGTATTGGATGTGCAGGTGTTAATAACTGGTAACTGATTCTATCTAAATTTGGTGCGTAGCATGTATGGGCTTAAACTGGTGATAGGTGTGCATGAACCTAGACTGGTTATTTTGAACATGTGTGTATCTGAGTTGCTAGTGTGTGTGTGTGTGTGGCATTGAGTGCATGATATATGAATTAGTGATCTGTGTCTAACTTTTGGGGTATATAGTGTATATGCTTGAATTGGCTTGAATTGCTGATAGGTATGGATGTGCCTAGGTTGGTCTGAATGTGTATGTGCCTGAGCTGGTAGTGTGCGTGTATATGCAACTAATTGATTTGTGCATTTGCATATGTGAAATTGTGTTACACCCTCCTGTCTAACAGTGCAATATTGAGATCCTGAGAGTTAGCCTGACCTCCCAGGGCAACACAGTCTGCTGCAGCCCCTGACGTGATAAGCAACCCAACTCTGCTCCACCACAAAGGCATTAACACCATTTAAAAAGACTATGAACAGTGAGGCCTGCACACATTTGGGGAGGTTAAATAGGGTTCAAAATGGCCACCTGATTTGAATTTAGCTCATCCTACAACCAACCTTACACTTACAAACCCAGTCTCAGTGACCAGCAGTCAGTCTAAACCTGTAACTGTACAGAAGTTCCATGCATATAAACCAGTCAAAAATTGCAGAACCCAGTTTAAGATAAACCTGGATCTACACAGTATCAAACTCATTTGATTTATATCAAACCAGTGCATGAAACTTCTGTACACTTTCCTGTAGACTTTCCTTTTGCAACGCTGGGGCTGAACCCAGTCACTGGCCCCAGCCCTGGGGCTGCTCTTTTCACACCCCCACTTGCACGGAGCTATTTTTTTGCCCCCCACCCCGCCTCCAACCAGCCAGCACTCTCAACCCCCATCCATTCTGCCATACCAGTTTTAGGTTTGAAACTGTACAGTTTTCAACTGAGTCACACTGGAGTAAACTCAAAGCTTTTTTAGATTCAGTGATTTGATACTTCAGAAGGGCACGTTCAAGATGGCAGCCACTGAGCAGCCATCAAAATGAGAAGACCACAAATCATTTTTAGAGTACTATTTTCAATGTATTTAAATAAACAAACAAAAAAGCGCCCCCACCCCTCAATCTTACATTTTATTTCACTCTGCACTGTGAAAGATATTTATCTTCCCAATAACAAGTGATATTTCATAGATACAGTGATATAATTCACAGTAGTAAATTTTAATTCTCAATTAAAATTTACAGAACAGGCATCAAAAATTTCCAGCTACACCAACAGTAAATAGAAAAGACCAAGGATTTTTTTTCTTAAGCACAGATTTCACCGCACCACATATACAATGTAAACAAATAAATAAAAGTAATCCATTAGTAGGAAGATCTTACCTGAGAGTAATCTGCTTTGGCTATTTCTGTAGTGGCACTTAGTACTGCACGAAGACTGTCTCCATTTTCTTGAACCAAGAGATAAGCCAGTATAAGAAAAGCATGAGTGGGGACTTGAGTAGTAACAGGTAGCAGTGATTTAATGGAAGACAGCCAATCAGACACTGTAGACCTCTCTTTCATAAGCTGTAAGATCTTCCAGGTTGTATATAATGAACTGTAAATACTGGTAATAGGGAAGACAAGCTTGCAGGATGACTGGAAAAAAAATCCAGATTAGTACCATGGAAGTGCAAGTTCTAATCTTGAAAAGTAGGCAAAGTGCCTAAGCAAATCTTTCATCTGAGGTTTCCAACACTATAAAAATAATCACTATATTTTCTTTATATCCAAGTTTGTGGGTTCTGGCACTAATGAACAACATGATGCCAGTTCCCTGCCCTGAAGTTGCCTTTTTATTTGGTAGCAATTATCCTTATCCCAACTGATAACTATGGTTCTACCTCCAAACTGAAATGGACACAATACAACTGGAATTTATTAAGAGTATCTGCTTCTGCAAAATACCACTCATTTTGGAGACTGACCCATGGTGCTTTAAACTGGCAGATTATGAATGATAGATATAATTTAAAAAGGAATTCCCTTAACTCTTATTAAAAACACCGTAAATAATCATGGCTGATATAACTGTTTTTGACCAATTTAACTTTTTTGATTTACCTTCTGTATTTTACCCAGATCTGGGCAATGAAACTAGTCATGCTACCTTCTCAGGTTCCAGGGCAGATTGCATTGTGTAAGGCTGGGAAACAGCAGGAAAAAGTTAAAAACCCAACAAGGAATTGTTAACTATGCTTACCCTGTTCTGAAGTTCATGGAAAGTTCTATTTGTGTTTTAAAGGAAACAAACCATTAAATTAGTCATTTATCTAAATTAGACATTCACATCACACCAATACCACATGCTCGTATAAAAGGAAACATTTTTAAATGTTCTTCCAAATCCAATCTAAAAATCATATTGAGAGGGAACATTTAGGTGCACCACACATTCAATATTAAGGAGATCAAGATAGCATTTGAAAGAAGTTTTCCAGCTGGAGATTAAAAGCTGGTCCATCTCAAGTATTTCAGCCCCAGGTGGGGGTAAGACCTATTCACCCTTGAAGTTCCAAGTGGAAGAGATATTTTCAATGAGCAGCTATAGCCATTCTGCCAAAAATGACAGTTTCATTTTAATCACATTGTTTAATGTAATGTAAATTCATTTGGGATAATGGAAAGGATAATGCCCCTGTACTTTAACTGACCTTTTTTAGAACAGCATTTAAATTAAAATTAACTCGATCTAATATTTATTCCATTATAGCTACCATATACGAAAAATTAAACCACCAGAACACCGTCCCTCTGTCCAATGAGATAATTTACAGCTCAATTCTCCCTTCAATGTATCCAGGGCTCTTACTGACTCCACCTGTTTTTGCATAGGCTTTTCTAAGAGCAGACTGTGGCCTAAAGGGTTTGGGATCTTTTGGTGTTAATGTAAACATGTCCGCTCCTACAAAATTCTGAATGGCTTAAGCTCCCTCTGGAGCTTGAAAACTGGGATCAGGCCTCAGGGAGTTTTTCAACACAGAACAGCTGCTAGGACTGGGAGTGGGAAGCATGTTTACGCCACTAGTTTTCACTGCTTCAGGTTGAATTAAGGAAAGACTGAAGAAGCTGAAGTATACTGAGTCTTCGTAGGGAGTGGAGGGCTGGCAGATTCAAACTTCCATGCCAGCTTAAACACTGCTTTGCACAAATCTAGCTGGGTAACTTCCATTGGATACAAACTTAAGTGCATGAGCAATGACAGAAAATACAGTCTTTACTGGCAGAACTACAGATTTCAGTTTTGTTATTACTGATTTTGGCGGGGGGAAGTGAGGGGAGGGAGCCACACAACTGAACTACAAGGGATAGATCCTTTACATCTGTTAATGAATCCTGTAACTCAGAGACATGTTTGTAGAAGCATGCTCACTTTTCTCACCAATAAGGAGGAAGTAAGAGAACAGAGCTGTGAAAGTTCATGTGAGAAGTGTCCATTACAAAGGATTTCCTCTTAGCAATTTGTCCCTGATGCACAAATTCATTGAGCAAGCGTGTTGGAATAGTCTAAAACCCAGAATCACAGGATGCTGAATTTTTGGTTGTAGAACCACAGGATATCACACTGTCAACAGACAATAGCACACATCTGCTACAGCCTACAGATTCTACTTTGCATCTCTTGACATGCATTACTGAAGCACAGATTTTTCTCAAGACTGATCTTGACCAATCTTGCCAACATGAAGTGCTTAGAAGCGGAATATTTAAAAAGCTATGGACAACAGAAACTTCTACATTAATGGAAGAGAAACCTCCTGTTTGGAGGTCGGGAGAACACTGCAGCAGCTAAATAGCAAAACTCTATTCATAAAAAATATATATAGCATTTTATTCCCTGTGTCCTGTGATGACCTGCAGCGATTACACTAGGTCAGTGGTGCCCAATATTTTTACCCTGAAGGCCAGATGGGCAGTGCCCAGTCCATCCACAGACTGGATCCAGCCAGTGGGTGCCCAATCCAGTGTGCAGGGTAGGTGGGCCTGGCCCCAGTTTGGTTGCATGGCAACTGCCTACACCAGCCCAGCTGCAATCCAGCTATGCGGGGCTTGGTAATTTGGCAGCAGGGGCGGGTGGCAGTATTAATGCCACTGCTCCCAGGCCACCAACTTTCTTGACTGAATGCCATGGCTCTGTAGGCTGGATTTGGTCCACAAACTGAGGGTTGAGCAACTCTGGACTAGGTACTGGGTGAGGCACAGAAAATATGCTCCAAAATACTTCAATTATAGACATTATTTTTTCACTCAGTGCCCGCTGACACAGGCCTTCGGGAGCGTCTGTGTTCTACAATGGAGAGAGGACCATTTAAGTTTCAAGTTAAGTTAATCTTTAAGATTCTATTTCTTGATATAGGGGCTCCCAATAACCTGGAAGTTTATAAGTCTTCTGTTAACCTGGCATATTGGCTGCATTCGCAGCTATTACTTCTATGAACTTCCGGAGAGACAAGGCCTAGGAGAAGGGAATATTAGACACAGAAGCAGAAATGTTTTGCTAATTCAACTGTACTATCACTCTTAGTAGACTCCAGTACCAACTGAAAAAGGACTGTAAAGAGCCAAATGAAGAAAAGTCCTTAATGTTGAAGAAGCCTGGATCACAAGGATCAGAGAATGGGCAGCTCTCATGTACCCTCAGGATATGGGTAAGATTTCTCAAATGCCTACTCGTAAATAAATAAGAGCACACAGGTAGCACACGATGGTTCCAAGTGTGCTATTTTTAATTTCCCTTTTGTCTTTGTTGTTGTTCTCTTCCATCCTTCAACAAAGAGGAGAAAATAGTAGACTGTAACTGTGGCAAAGAAAGAGGCCAATTCAAGAGCCATAAAATTCCATAGAAAAGTATTTTCACAGATAGAACTGATACCAATAATAATAATAATAATAATTATTATTATTATTATTATAAACCGTTTCCTTTGTACTTTATATTTTTTACTAATCTTTAACAAACATTTTGACAGTTCCCAAACAGAAATGATAGCACACGCAGCCTCTCTCATCCTTTAAATGTAAATGACTACATGTAACAACATAATAAAACTGTTAAATTCTCCCTCTGCCTGCCCCAAAGAAGGATAAAAGCTTGAATGCAAAACTTTACCAATTGCTTTCCATCTTTCATGCCTTCCTGCTGTACTATTTCCAAAAGATTTATAGCCAACTGTTGCCTAGTGGAGCCAGCATCTTCCTGTGATATGCAGTCCTCAACTGCTGTAGAAGATAAGATCTGCAGTGCTGGCATCACCAAGACAAGGGATGTGGTTGGAATTTTCTGTGTTTCTGAACAGGAAAGGAGCTTGCAGGCTATTAAAACAAGAGAAAAAATGTAGATGGGAAAAAGCAGTTATAGTTTTCAGCATGACGTGCATTTTCTAAGAAACACACTGGTCTAGCACGGCACCAGTCCCAAATAGTTACAATGTACATACTGTGCCACAGTACAAACTATTGTGTGGTAACACTACCATTCCTTTCCTTTACATGAAAAGCAAACGCATTGGGCTCCCCAGGCTGAATCTGGACCCACCTCCAGTGGCCATGGAAGCACCATTGAGTTAATGCAGCCATCGCCCATGCTACCACCCCTAAAAAACATCCCCAAAGGGGATCTGTACCCCAAAATTCACTGGTGGGCTCCACTCCCGAATTCCTTGCACCTCCAGGAGGTCTGCAGAATGGATGAAACAGCTTCATGAGCCAGATGTTTTACACCTCTGCTTTATACCAAGAAACCCAACTTCCAAGAAATGCAATAATGGACTCTACAAAAACCCCTGCTTGTTAATAAAATTACTAGAGTCCATTCCCTATCACTAAAACAAGAAGTTGAAAGTCCAGTCAAACAAAAAAAAAGTCTTTCCACTGTGCCTTGAAAGATCCCCAACAACTGGCTCTGAAGTACCAGGTTCTGTAAAGAACACACTGCTGCTGGCTTAAAAAAATGCAAACTGTCTCATAGAGGTGGAAAAAAATCTCTTTTTGCCTTAGGCTTCAGCATATCTAACTTCTACTGGTTAATAAAGAAGATTTCCAGCCTAACACAAAGAATATATCAACCACCTCATCTAACTTCTGAGAAGACAAACTGCAAAAGGCAATACCTGAAATTTAATTAAAAGAAACAAACAGGAAGCTACAGTCTTAAAAACTAGATACGACAAGTGGACCTTTACCTAGATTTAAAATGGGTTTTTGCTGACTTGCTGGAGTCTGTAGCAAAAGCAATCCTAATCCAATTATGGTCTGTTCAACAGGAAAATCCTAAAGGGGAAAAAAATGCTTTAAGACTTCTGTATTTGGGAAGGGTGAGAGGTAGAAATAAACAGCCATGATATTAGGGTATGATTTGTTTCCATCCACAGCATACTGAACACACTCTGCCTGCTCAAAACCTGTAAATTAAGGACTCTGACAGACATTTTTGTTCTAATACAAAGATTGTAGCACTACAAAAAACAAGAGCACTATGGGCGGACACACATGAAAAGCCCCCTGACTGGAGCGCAACAAAGTTGCCACAAAGGCATACTCTCCAATCAGGGGGGTGATAAGCGGCTACTCTCTCCCCACTCCCCCCTCCCCAGCGAGCAGGACATGCTCACTGACAGGCTTGTCTAATCAGCTGTTCCTGCTTTGGCAGCAGCTGATTGAGACTAGAAACTGCCACTGCAGTGGCCTTCCTTAGTCTTGGGCTGCACAGGAGCCCTTTAAAGTTTCCTACTCCAGGGTAGCTTGACAGCTGGCCCAAGCTGGTCTGATGCTGCCTAGAGTCCTTTAAAGTTCCCAGCTGGCAGGCAGTTCTGCTGCAGCAGGCATTCTCCAGCTGCCTGCCAGCCAGAAACTTTAAAGGATTCCCAGGCAGCTCGAGAGGGAGAACGCTGCTACAATCCAGAGCTGCCTCCTGTTTTCCTCCCCTCAACCCACCTCCAGGAACCATGGGAACAGCCCTGAGAAACAACCCCTGTTCACAGGTTTCCTGCAGAGAGGGGAGCAGCTCTAGTAGATGCTGCTCATCCTACAGAAACTGGAGATTTTCCCATGGTTTCTACAAGCAGGGAGCTGCTCTGGGAGCTGTCCTGTACCCTGCAGGACCTGGAGCTGTTCCCAGGGGGCCCCCAGCCAGAACATCGGCTTTTGCCCAGGGCAGGTCTTGTCATGGCTGTCAGCAGCACTATCAACTATTATTCTTTGAAGGCATGACATCCATCACATATCAAAAGAAAACTTCCAGTGTTAATACAGAAACGTTATTTAGTTATGTTAGTACACTAACAGTTACTGGGAACTTGTATACAAAATTTGAAAAATATGTATATAAATGTACACACACACACACACACACACACACACACACACACAGAAGCCATTTTTTTTCAAAATGATCTAATCTAAATTTAAGCTTTGGATGTTGAGATTTTAGAAGTTGATTAAATGATTTAGACACATCCCATTCACTGGAAATACTAACATTGACTGAGGACTTATCCAAAGGTCAAAGTAGATCTTGACTTGGTGACTAAAGAGTCAAGTATGAATGTAATAATTTACGACTGAAAAAGTAAGTATAAAATACAAAATTTTTAATTTAAAATTAGAAAAAAAAATCAACTACAATTAAAAATATAACCTATTTTAAGATTTTATACTGCCACCAAATCCTTGCAGTAACTGAGTGCTTTTCATATAGAAATCAGTACCAACAGAGACTTCATAGAACTCAAGCCTGTGTTGCTTCTCTCTTGTCAGGGTAAAAAACCTACAAGGGTAGGCTGGGTGTTTTATATATATATTCTAACATTAGAAAAGCTATTTTAAAAAATATTTTAATTTAGAAAAGCAAATCTTGACTTTTAATTCACCATACTTTCTAAACATGCAAACAGTGCTATACACACACACAGTTCTACCAAAAGTAGCTTTCCTTTTGAGCCTTCCAAGGATTTCCACAGGTTGTAGCTAGATCCCAAAATTTTGGCCAATCACAAAAAGCAATGAAGTTCAGAATGCAATAAAAAGGTGAAAATCCAAGAACTGTTTAATTTAAATTAACTGGGCCTTGATGGCAAAGACAAAAATCTGAAGCAGATATTATGTAGTTCCTTGAAGTTTTCTGTAAAGGTGAAAAAGTTACCTAACAAATGTTTGGAAATTAAAATATTAATAGGTACCTACCTAGTCTTTACAATATTTTTTTCCAGTTGATGTTTTACTTTAACCCAGCTCCAGATAATTCCAACATGAAAGAGATACCAGCCAATACATACAGGAACTCACACAACTAGCTGATAATGCTTCGTACCATTGGAAAACAAAGGATTTTACAAATCCAGAGAGCATAAATGCATAGTTTCCCAAAGAGCTTCCAACTGCCACCAAAATCAGGTCACGAATCAAATGGAAAAGCGGAATAGCAAACAGGATGGGGTGTCAAAATTTCAAGTGCCCTGACCTCAATTTCTCAGACTCTGAAAGCCTGAAAGCAGTTGTTTTATACCACAAGAAACTGCTATTTCCAGTGTTTTCCAAGGCAAAACAATTAGATCTGGGTGAACGCTGTGTATATCTCTCTTTTGACACACCACTGCTGAAGTGGCAAATACACCACTGCTAAAGTGGCAACCATCCTTCCATTTGACTAGGTTTTGTATTTTCTTCCCAAATCTTACCTCTTGCAAAAGCTCAACATTCTGTTCTAGTAGGCCAATCAAAGATGAACACTCCCCCATTATGTCCAGACACACCTCACAGAAGCATAAAACCTGCAGACAAAGCTGGGACAACTGGAGTTTCCAAAATACAGGGTAGCGCAGTAGACTCTGGAATAAGTCTTCTAGAAACAACAATACTTCTGTAATTTGTGACAAGTCTTTTATCTGTAGGCAGAAGACATATGGGGAAAAGATATGACACATAAGTTAATTTGCCTTCTGAAAAGGGTGGAGACATTTCTATAGTCAGACAAATAGTAGCATGATTTTTTCCTCACTGCTAATCTTTGTAGAACTTCACAAGGAATGCCAATGCCAGCGACAAGAGCTCCAGGTCAGAGCAGTCTTTAAACAAGATGATTAACTGCAAAGTTGGAAGTCGATAAGTAAAATTAGACAAAACACTTTCAAAATTAAAAAAAAAATTGTCCTTATCCTCTTAAAAAGGTGACAAGGAAACATCAGTTGCTTGGGGTTGTGATTTGCTACAGCATGTAGTTGAATTCCTGGGTGAGGGATTACCAATGGATCAAGCTCTGCAAGAGATTCTTAAAGGGTAAATACTGAATCTCCAAAACTCATTTTTCTTGTGCTCTTGTAGCAAAACTCCCAGTTTCTTTTTTTTTTTCCTTTTGAAATGCATTCCCACCCTTCCCCAACTGTTTCTGATTTCTTCTATCCCTCTCTATTCCCTATAGATATGTATGAGTAAGTTAAGATACAGGATAAGCTTTAGCATTTTTATAGCAAGCTTTTTTTTCCTTTCTCCCTCCTTCTTTGATCCACCGTTTTATGTTGTATAATTATTATGTTTATACTGTTTTACTGATTTTTACTGTTTTTTTTTTAATTGATACTATATGATTTAGGCCTACATGTGTAAGTTAGCATAAGTAATGTCAAGTTTCCATTTTGAATGTCAAGCCTCTATCTTGTGTCCTCTGCCCAGGTGTAACCTATGACTCATGCCTAACCAGTCTCATGTAAATTGGTTTCTGAATTAATGGGGATGAATGAGGGTGCTTAAGATACAATGGTAGCAGGTGTCTACTGAATAATCAACTCAACGACTGGACTATCAGCTCAATGATTGGACCATTGCCTTCCATTGACTCGCCCAGGAACCATGGACCCAGCATCTGAAAGACAAAGACCCTACAGAAATCAGCTGACCCACTATTGCAACACAGGCACCTGGAACTGCATGTCCTCGTCTACATTGCACATGCTCATTACACCAGGGATGATCCTTGCCTGGGCATGCCCCTGCCACTAGGGTCATAGAAGGTCTGCCCCTATAAAAAGAGGTAGTGAAGACAGACCCAGTGGGATGCCCTCTCCATGTGGACCAGCACCATGGCACAACACCTATCCACCCAGAGGCCCTGCCGGCAACCCCCTCTGGACAACACCTTGCTGGAGAAGACCCTAACTGGCCATTGAGGATCAACTCACAACCCAGGATAGGTAACTATCACCCACCTTCCTTTCCCAAAGGACCTGGCCTCTGCCCCTACACACCTTGACTTCAATCCCTCCACCAAGCCTTTTTCTCTTCTGCTACCATTGTGTGGATGCATACGTGAGTGCCTGTGTATGTGTAAGAACCAATAACTTCATGGGGCTGTGTAGTGTGTTGTCTGTTTAACAGACCTGTTATTTTGAAACCCCAAGGTGAGTTTTTGTCTTATTTACCTCCCGACCCTCCTCCTTGATTTCCCGGCTATCTCCCAGCTCTCTACCTCTCAGTTTCCAGCCCCAATTTCCCAGTTTTCTGCTTCTCTGTTTCCTGGTCATCTCCTCCTTGCCACCAGGCTTTTCCCCTTGCTTCCACCCCAGCACCAGGTGACCCCCAGTAACCCCGGGGCACATTGCCCCTAAGTAACCCTGGGGAACTTGACCTTAAGTAACCCCAGCTCCCCTCCAGTCAGCCGGTTCTAATCCCAGCCCCAGCAACTTTCACTCCTGGCACTTTCACTCTTATTTTTCCCTCATCTTAACCTCCATCCATCTCCCTCCTTCCGGAAATCTTTGACCCTTGATTCCCCCTCCTATTGTCACCAAGCATCCTAGGTACCTCAAGTACACACATACACACCATACCACCCAAGTTAGGAACTCACGTGTGTGCGTGTGTGTGTGTGAGAACTGGCAAATACATATACAAATATATCATTGCATGCATGGTATACAAATTAATAATCCGTGTATTGGGTATGCGGGTATTGACAACTGATTTTTGTCTAATTTTTGGTGTGTGTAGTGTGTATGTGCTTGAGCTGGCGATAGGTGTGCATGTGCTTAGACTGGTAATCTTGGATGTGTATGTGCCTGAGTTGGTAGTGCGTGTGTATGCGCCTAGTGTATGTGTATGAGCCTAACTTGGAGGGGGGTGGGTGGGGAGGGGGGTGTGTTTGTGCGTGCGTGTGCATGTTCAATTGTGTCACACCCTCCTGTCTAACAGCGCAATTTTGAGATTCTGAAAGTTGGCCTGGCTCTACATAACAACAATCTAATCCAAGATTTCAACTTAATCCTTGAAGTAGCAAGTCTGTCTCTTACTTTTCCCCATGCACAATGCAGTTAATCTATTAAAAAAAACAAACAAACAAACGAAAACTCCCTAGATTAAAGTGCTGTTTCTACATTTGGAAGCAGTACAGAAAAAAGAAGTGAGGTGGCAGGTTGCCTCCATAGTCTGATGTACCCTTGATGTACATGTTCTTCCCTTGAAAAACTCCAATTCCAGCCAAAGCCAGATGTTCTTATCAAAATTCTGGAGCTGGTGTTAAGGTCCTGATCTCACCCATGTTGGCATTTATTCCAAGGGATTAAGAACAATGAACCCATCTGCTCTAATCAGAAGCCTTGTGTTTGCTGAATTCATCAAGATAAAAGTCTGCAGGTAACCAGCTGTACCTTTCACCAGTGGTTGCCACCATAATACACCAAAATGATTCTGAAAGCATTTATTCAATACAGAGCAACTGGACTAAATAAGTGCTTAGATAAAGAAAGGTAAAAAGGGTTCTGGGTTTGGAGGCAGGAGGAAGGAAAGTATGGTAATAAGCTTGGAAGTTCTTGGTACAAAAATTTATTTTACATTACTGAGAAACACAATCTGGACAAGTCAAAAAAGCACAACAAAGAAACCATGAACCTTTGTGCAAATAAGAAAAAAAGTGATTTCTAGCAAACTATAGTACACATCTATAGCTTTTTTTACATGTCCATGTATGGACAGAGAGGAATGAAAGCAGGATCAGAACTGTATTTCACTGCAAATTGTCCAGTCTCCCTTTTTGTGTCTATGTCCACTATACTGGATACATGGGACTTAGTGACATACTCAGCAAGCAGAGGTAAGTTACCCTGAGGCAAGGATGCAACAAACAGAAGCTGTAATTGTTTGAATGCCAAAAGAGCAATATTTTACCTCTTAAAACTCATATTTGAGAATCTTCTGAATTCAGTTACATTTATATAACACAAACTATTGTATCCAAACTACAATAAAGAGGAAACAACTAGAAAAAAGTATGCTATGGTACTAAAAGTCCTGAGGAAAAAAATATTGATCATCTTTACACTGTTTTTTGTTACATTATGGAAATCTGTCTCCCTCTCTCAAATGATCCCCAGTATCATTATATCTTAGCATCTCACAGTCTTTAATGTATTCATACTTGAAATGCCCTTATTAGTTAAGGAGATTCTATTATCCCCATTTTAGACACTGGAGGAGGAAGTAAGGGAGGGGAAATCAAGGCACAGGGAAACAAAGGGCTGGTCTATAAAAGACACAAAACTGCAACTTACTGAGATACCTAAGACGATTCTGCACATTAGATCTAGAACCAAAATAAGTACAGCCACACTCATGTGGTACTTTGCCCAGGCTAACTAGGTTTGTCAAGAAAAAAGGGTAACCCAAGTACAGCACCATGCCTCTACAGCTCTTAGTTCCACATCTGGCATGTGCAGAGATAACTCAGATAACTTCACACAATGATGCCTTAATTGACACTGCATTGTGCTGTGTAGATGAACCTTCAGTGACCTGTCCAACTGGCAGGCAGTCCAGAGCAGGGAAGGGAACACATTATCTCCCAAGTCCCAAACTTGCACCTTAACTACTGGAACACCCTTTCCATCAATGAGGTCATGGAGAAACATACACATACCCTAGTGAAATTTCTATTGTTTAGTTTTGTATCCTTATGTAACTTACACCAAAGTCAGGAACCAAGAGACACAGCTCTCCAAAGTTAGCTCACACAGAAGATGGCTAGTATGGTGCCTTGTGACTGGGGCTAAGTACAGACATTTGGGGGCTTTAGGGGGAGGTTAAATCAACTCGAAACGGCTGCCCAATATCAGGTAAGTCAGCATTGGGGGGCTGTATAGCAAGGGGGTTTGGGGCCTGCTGGGGGATGGAGGGCAGGTGGGGTGGGTTACCCCCCACTGAACCTATACCCCCCATCCCTCCCACCCCTCCCCGCACTAGGACTGACTTGCTCAGCTCCAGCAGCGACGAACAATGATAAACGTAACTGCACCCCAAGCAGCTTGCAGACTGAAAGGGCTGACTGGTTGGGGGGAAGAGAGCAATGGGCTGGATGACTGAAAAAAAATAGCCCAGTGCAGGGGGAGGGAAGAGTAAAAAAAGCAGCCCCAAGACTGGGGCCAGCGGCTGTCTTGCCAGCCCCAGAGATGCACATAGAAAATGTACAGAAGTTCCATGCACTGGTTTGACGTAAATCAAATAAGTTGGATAATACACAGATCTAGGTTTATCTTAAAACAGGTTCTGCAATTTTTAAACAGGTTTATGTGCATGGAACTTCTGTACAGTTACAGGTTTACACTTACAGACCAGGTCTATAAGTGTAAGGTTGGGACTGGGGTGAGTCAAGTTTAAATCAGGCAGCCAGTCTGAACCCGATTTCAACCTACCCAAATGTCTGTACTTAGCCTGCATGATATGGGGAGCAGCTGGCAATCTGCTTTTAGCAAACACCTACCCAGAGGTGTACACAATCAGATATAAACAATCAGATATTTGAAATCTAAATAACTTACATCTCTAGTTTTATATACTTGATTTTTACAAGGGGGAAATCTTTACAGGATTGGGCAAATTTACCCTGGCTTAGGGAGATTTTCTTTTGATTTAATGATTTAATGCAGATTACACCAATGTAAATGTTACATCTGTCTACATCCTAAATCAGGGCTGTCCAAATTCTGATAAGCCAAGGGATACAGACTACCGGTCACACACCATGCAGGTCACATGCCCTCTCCACTGCATTACACCACGCCACATCCCATGTCCCGAATTGCACCATGCATGCTCCCCGGGCTGTACTGCACTGTACTGTGCTGCACCACCAGAGGTCCCCAGGTTTCCTCCAACTCCCCAGCCATAGCCTCCCTCAGCTCCAGGCTGTTCTGCACCATGTGGCCCCACCCTGTCCCTAGAACCTGCAGGGGCAGGCAGTGAAAGTAGGAGAAGGGGGAACCCAAAGACTCCAGTGGCAGAGGCTGGAAGGTGAAGAAGGGAGCACTGCATAGACCAGGAGCCCAGGGGCTGTCTGATGGACACTGCTGCCCTAAATTACTTAATGGCAGGGATTTTGAAAGAGCACTTGACTTTACTGGCCTCAACTCAAGAGTTTCAACAAGAGATAGGCACTTTCAAGCACAGCTGAAAATCTCAGTCTATACAAACAGGATTCAGTTATGCAGTTTCCCTGTTTCAATGAGTCATGCCTGTAAAACAAATAGCAACATTTTTCAGTGCATTTTTTGTATTAAATCAGGAACTGAATTCACATTAAAAATCCACCCAAACTCAAGCATTGCATGTTTTCTAAAACAGCTTGTTATGTTGACAAATAGCAGTAACAGCAGAGAGTGAATAATGCAGGACAACAACACTGTCTTTCACATAATGCTCTCCTAGCTTTATTACATACAAGGCAACTAGTGTTGTTAGTAGTGCAAATACAATACATATGTCTAATTAGACCTCATACAGTCAGATTTGATCACTTCAAAAAAGCACTGCCTTCCCTGAGAAAGGCACATTTATCTTCTATATTTCTGAGCTGGTGACCAAATATAATTTGCGAGAATACAAAAGCAGCGATGCATTTGTACACACACACACACACACACACACACACACACACAAGCGATATGGCAACAAAGCTGCTTTGACAATGGTATTTTCAGAAGACAGGGCCAGGCAGGAAATAACTTTTACCTGAAAATATGGAATCAAGTCGCAGAGTAACTGAAGAATATGGTGTTCTAGCACAGAAGGTGTCTCTTTGTTCTCTGGACTTCGCGGTTGAAGTAATATTTTAAGTAGACCCATTCGCAGTTCAGCATGTTCCCGCAACTGGGCTGGTTCACAATACAGGTATCTTAGAAATGGCTCCATTATGCAGACACATGAACTCTGTGCCCTGCAGCTCGAGAAATAAGATCACCAAGATCATTTTTATTAGTTAAAAAAATTAAATAAATTGCACAACAGTAAGATGAATTCAGGTATCAACTTTTTGTAGGGTGTTGGCACCAGGAGTCACTGTTAAAGTGTCAAATAAACAACAATTTGAGTTACTAACACAAAATAGTATCACGTGATCTTATATGTCAATAGTACAGTTCAAATTAGTACATCAAAATAGTCTTACTCTTGTGGGAAACAGCAGGGGGTGCATGCAGCAGAGCTGCACCAGGTATAGTGCAGGTGCAGTCAGCTCCCTCCTCCCCCCAGCGCATTCAGGCCACAGCTTCCCCTGCAGCTCTCTGCATGGGGCCAACCCCCGCCCACGCCACACTCCTAACAGCACCACCACCGCCCCAGCCAGAGCTGCTGCAGCCACCAGGGTACTGCTCAGCTCCCTCCCCCGCCCCACCGGCCCCTCCTCCTCCTCCTCCTGCCCCTGCTGTGCTGCTACAGCTGCCTTCCACTCACTCAGCCACCTATACCTGGCTGCTCATTGCACCAGGCAGGCAGAGTAGGTGGAAGATGGACAGGGACTAGAGCTGAAGCCCCACACACTGGGGCAGGACCCATCCAGTTGCAGCTTCCCCCACACCCAGCTGGGCATGTAGTGCCCAGCACACTTAGTAGTCCCCATGGTTTCCACTGCTGCTTCCCAGAGCAACAAAGCAGGGGCAGGAAGTGGAGGAGGAGCTGTTGAAGGCAGGGGGAGCTGAGCAGTACCCAGAAAGCTACAGCAGCTTTAAACTACTTTGTACTTTAAACTAAGTATAGCAGGGGACGGGGAGGCAGGAGATGGAGAGAGTCTAGAACTTACAAACTGCAAGACATGCAGCACTACACCCCAGGTAAGTACCAAGAGGCCCTTTGGGCATCAGAACGGGTGGGTACCAAAGGCACCATTTGGAGGGCTCAAGTGCCTCTATACTAATGCTAGGAGCAGGGGGAACAAGCAGGAAGAACTCACACTTCTGCTTGCAGATAATAACTTTGATTTAGTGGGGCTAACGGAAACCTGGTGGGACCCTACCCATGACTGGGCACTACACATTGAGGGCTACAGTTTGTACAGAAGGGACAGAACAGGGAAGAAAGGGGGCGGTGTTGCTCTCTATGTAAAGGAGCATTATACATCTACCCGAATCAGAATGGGATCAGAGGAAGAGAAAGTTGAGGCATTGTGGGTTAGGATACATGGAGGTCGAGGGGAAAGCGACTTGGGGGGGGTGTCTGCTACCAACTACCACACCAAGAGGAAAAGCTAGACTTGGAATTCTTGAGGCAGCTCTCAGAGGCTGTACAGTCTAGGGATGTGGTTGTCATGGGCGAGCTAAACTCCCCTGATATCTGCTGGGAGGAGCAGTCAGCCAAATCCAAACATTCACATAGGTTCTTAACCTACGTGCAAGATCTTCAGCTAACACAAGAGGTATACGGTCCCACTGGGGGGAATGCCTTACTGGACTTGGTGTTGACTACGGGGGAGGACCTGGTAGGGGAGCTGCAGATTCATGGTCACCTTGGGGACAGTGACCACCAATCAATCAAATTCATCACATGGCGTAGGGTGGGTAAGATAACTAGTAGGGTAGAAGTGCTTGAATTTAGGAAGGCTAACTTCAGTATGCTTAAGAGTCTAGTCAATGACACACTGCAGGAGAAGAGTATTGGCGAGATGGGAGTCCAGGAAAGGTGGTCGGTTCTAAAGGAAGCGATCCTTCAGGTACAGAGGGAGACGATCCCAGTATGAAGGAAAAGAGGGAAAGGAGCCAAAAAACTTCCTTGGCTAAACAGGGAGATCCAGGGGAGCCTAAGGGCAAAAAAGAAGGCATATAGGCAGTGGAAGCAGGGGGAAGCTACCAAGGAGTATACCTACTTGTCCCACACTTGCAGGGAGGCAGTTAGAAAGGCCAAAGCAACTATAGAGCTGCGGCTGGCAACACAAATTAAAGACAACAAAAAGTCTTATTTTAGGTATGCAGGGAGTAAAAGGAAGGCGCAGGAGAGCATAGGTCTCCTACTAAGCAAGAAGGAGCAATTAGTGACAAACAGGGGGGACAAGGCTGAGCTATTCAATGATCTTTTGCCTCGGTGTTCCTGAACAGGGTTCAAGATAAGTCTCCTAATGGGTTCGTAGATCGGCAAGAAACAATGGTCACAAACTGACAGACAGCAGATTTGGGCTAGATATCAGGAAAAGCGTCTTCATGGTAAGGGTGGCCAAAATTTGGAATGGGCTTCCAAGGGAGGTGGTGCTCTCCCCTACCTCAGGGGTCTTTAAGAGAAGGCTGGATAGGCATCTAGCTGGGGTCATCTGACCCTAACTCTTTCCTGCCTAGGCAGGGGGTCGGACTCGATGGTCTGTTGAGGTCCCTTCTGACCCTAGTATCTTTGAATAGGAGCATAATTCTAAACCCTCTAGAGCAGGGGTGACCAGATATGGCCAGCAGGGCTCCCCATGGGACCAGAAATTTGGTGGTAGGGGCAGGATGGCAACATTAATTGCTGTGGCTTCTGGAGCTATGGCAATTTATGCTGCTGCCATTTATCCTACCATCAAATTCAGACCTATAGGGTGCCCTGCAGGACAGATGATGTGGCTCCACTTACCAAGTCCAGCCCATGGGGCACGATGCTCTAGAGTCAAGGTAAGTTTTGTCAGGGGGTTTTGTCAAGGTAAGTTTTACTTCAGGGGGAGCAGAATCAGGACCATAATTATTCTGTATTTAAACCAAACTTCAAAGAAGTTAAAGGGAGTTTCTTCACTGACTTCAAAGAAAGGCTGTGAGAATCAGGTCCCCAACTCCATAAGGAATGGTCACTGTCTGATACTGTTTATGAAAGCCTAAATATG